TGGAAAAGAAGAAGTAAAGTTATCCTTATTTGCAGATGATATGATATTATACATAAAAAACCCAAAGACTCCATCAAAACACTAATTGACTTAATAAATGAATTTGGCTATATAGCAGGATACAAAATTAATGCCAAGAAATCTATGGCATTTCTATACACCAATAGTGAACTTTCAGAAACAGGGACTAAAAAGGCAATCCCATTTACAATCGCACCAAAAATATTAAGATACCTTGAAATAAACTTAACTAAGGAGGTAAAAGACCTATACGCGGAAAACTACACAACACTGAAAAAAGAGATAGAGGAAGATGTAAACAGATGGAAGAACATACCATGTTCATGGATTGGTAGAATCAACATAATCAAAATGTCCATACTTCCTAAAGCAATCTATAGGTTCAATGCATTCCCCATTAAAATACCAACGGCATATTTCCCTGATCTAGAAAAAACTCTTTAAAAGTTCATTTGGAACAACCAAAGACCCCAAATAACCACAGCAATCCTGAGAAAGAAGAGTAAAGTAGGAGGGATCTCAATACCATATTTCAAGCTGTATTACAGAGCCACTGTTCTCAAAACAGCCTGGTACTGACACAAGAACAGACATATAGATCAATGGAATAGAATTGAGAACCCAGATATCAACCCAAATCACTATGCTCAGTCAATATTTGACAAAGAAGGCATGAACATACAATGGGGTCAAGACAGTCTCTTAAATGGTGTTGGGAAAATTGGACAGATACATGCGAAAGAATGAAACTAGACCACCAACTTACACCATACACAAAAATAAACTCAAAATGGATACAGGACTTAAACATAAGGCGGGAAACCATAAAAATACTAGAGGCATCCACAGGCAGCAAAATCTCAGACATATGCCAAAAGAACTTCTTCACTGATACTGCCCCTAGAGCAATGGAAGCCAAAGAGAAAATAAACAAATGGGAATACATCAAAATAAAAAGCTTTTTTTACAGCAAAAGAAACCATCAACAAAACAACAAGAAAGCCCACTGTATGGGACAACATATTTGCAAATATTATCACTGATAAAGGTTTAATCTCCAACATCTACAGACAGCTTATACAACTTAATAAAAGGAAGATAAATGACCCAATTAAAAAATGGGCAATGGATCTAAATAGAATCTTCTCAAAAGAAGACAGAAGGAAGGCCAAGAGGCACATGAAAACATGCTCAAAGTCACTTATTGTCCAAGAGATGCAAATCAAAACAACAATGTGCTACCATCTCACACCTGTCAGAATGGCCAACATTAACAAATCAACAAATGACAAGTGTTGGCAAGGTTGCAGAGAAAAAGGAACCCTCGTGCACTGCTGGTGGGAATGCAGACTGGTGCAACCACTGTGGAGAATAGTATGGAGCTTCCTCAAAAAACTGAAAATGGAACTCCCATTTGACCCAGTAATCCACTCCTAGGAATATATCCCAAGAAGCTAGAAACATCAATCAGAAAGGATATATGCACCCCTATGTTCATAGCAGCACAATTTACAATAGCTAGGATTTGAAAACAGCCTAGGTGACCATCAGCTGATGACTGGATAAAAAAAAATATGGAACATCTACACAATGGAATATTATGCTGCTATAAAAAAGAAGAAATTCTCATCATTTGCAGCAACTTGGATGGAATTGGAGAACATCATGCTGAGTGAAACAAGCCAGTCAATGAAAGAGAAACACCACATGACCTCACTTATTTATGGATGATAAAGAACATTATAAACTGAAGAACCAAAAGATAGATATAGAGACAGTAAAGCAACAAGCAGACTGTCAAATTACAGCAGGGAGGTTAGGGAGATCTGGGGGAGATAAGAGATCAACCTAAGGACTTATATACATGCATATAAGTACAACCAATGGACACAAAACTCTTGGGAGGAAGGGCATATATGGGAGGGGGGTGGCACAATGGTATATGTACAAAGATAATAATTTAATTAAAACATTAAAAAAATTAAAAAAAATAAAGTTACTGCTCTGTCTTGCCCAATCCAATATATATACATATATATGTATATTTTTCTGGGAAAGAAGTTTTAATCACTATTATAACTAATTTACTCTCTAGTAGTTGAGTCAAGCTTTTATCACACACTTATTTTTTGAATTTTCCTTAAATTACTTACTTTTTACTTTCATTTTGATTGCTATGAAAAAGAGTCAACATATATTTATGTTCTTTATTATAAAATATAATACTTAAATGCCATCAGAAATATATGAAGTGTTATTAAAGAATCAGCAGGAAAAAAATTAAAAGACTACTACACCCATCTGATTTTTTAATCTGGTTATTAAAATTTGCTAGTATACACACTTCAAATGTACCATGAATTCAGTTGAAACTAAGACTTACCACTAGAGTTTCATGTCTACTGCTGTAACAATGATAGCTGATTAAAGTTACTAGGATATGTTCTACTCCAAATTAATAGGTGTGGGTAAAAAGAAATAGGTTTATCACCTGGAGGGAAGACATATTAAAATTAAATTATTTTCTAACTCCTATTGTGAGTCTGATTAAAAACATAATTATGACTTCATTATTGTAATTTTTTTTTTGGCTAACACAATTAATTTATTTAATTTTGAGAATAGATATATGCTTTCAGCATGAAACTATTTCTTTTTAAAAGAAGTTATTAGGATCCGAGATGGTGTCCAACAGAACAGCTGTGAGGAAGAGAGTGTGAGTGAGTGAGTGTGAAAGTGGACTGCATGGACATGTGGGGTGTGTGTGTGTATGTGTGTGAGGACAGTTATATACCACAGGCCTGCTGGGGACTGGCGGACCAGGATCCCCTAGCTGGGAAGCCTCTATTCCTGCTGCAGTCTCTCCTGGGGTGGCCGGCTCTGCTGCAGAGACTGCCATATTGAAGGGGAAAGCGTCTGTGTCTGGGAGCACAGCCTCACCTCCAACTCAGACACCACCTGGGACCCTACAGCCACACCAGCCATGGACCAGCTGCCTTGGCTGTAAACCCATGAACACCGAGATTTTAGCCTGCCCAGCCTCAGGCTTCTCAAAAGTTTGTCCACGGGCAGACAAAATGGTCGCTGAATAGGTGACTTCTCATGGAGCAGATAGAAGAAACAGATGAAAATAATGACATTCTTTATTTTATTTTTTATTATTTTCATTTTTTACTACTACTACTAGTATTATTTTTAACCTTTCTTTTTTAATTATAATTTTTAAAAATTATTTTTTGGATTAGTGTTCTACATTCTGTTTTTATTTTTTATCATTATTTTACTCTATTTTTTTTTTCTTTTATGCCAACCTTTTCTTCCTCAGTTCTCCCTTTTTCATCTTTCTCTTCTCCTGTTCCTGCTTTAGTTTTTCTCTCTCCTTTCTTTTTACTCCTTGCTAAAAATTGATCTTTATCTGCTTTATTGATGCATTACTATTATATTAGTCTCTGTTGACTTACTCATGTACCTAATTTCCCCTCCCCAGCTCCAAATCTATGCACACTTCTCATTTCTCTTTCTTTGCTAGTCAATTTTTTTCTTGTTCTTTGTTTAGTTTTTATTTTTTATTTTATGATTTTGCTTTTCCTTTCCTTGCTTGTTCTCTTCTTCTACTAATAGCTTAATCAATTTCACTCACCAAACTCAGGCCTATCTGCTCTCTACTCTATTCTCCTTTACCAAAAATAGATGAATATATAGAGAGATAGATTAAAAAAAGAGGAAAATTATATATATACACACACTAGAGGCCCAGTACACAAAATTCATGCATGAGGGGGTGGTTCCTCAGCCTGTTCTGCACCCTCTCCAATCCAGGACCCCTCGGGGGATGTCAGGCTGCCAGTTTAGGCCTAATCCCGCAGTCAGACATGCCTCTCACAATTTGGGACCACTGGATCCTAACTGCTCACCTGCCTGCCTGCCTGCCTGATTGTTCCTAACCACTTTGCATGACTGCCTGATCACCCCCAAATGCTGCCCCTGCTGGCCTGATTGAGGGTAGGGGGCCAATTGGAGGTGAGGCTGGTCATTGGGAGGGGCTATGGTCAGTGGGTTGGCTGGCCACATCCCCAAATGGGGTGGGGGGGCAATCTGAGGTGGGGCCGGGCAGGGGGAGGGACTGCGGGAGATTCTCTGGCTTGCCCCACCCCCCTTATTGGGGTGGGAAGGGTGCCATCAGGGTCAGGCAGCCAGCCTTGGGGAGGAGCTGCATGCCTTTTGTGGTGGGGCAGGCTGATAGAGGGTGAGGCTGATGGGGTAGGAAAAGGAGGGGCATTGGCCAGTCGGCCCATTCTTTGTTTTTCGGGGGGGGGGGGGGGGGAGGCAACTTCACAACTTTTATTTGTGGTGCCTGTGCTATGTCTCAAAACTACCTTCTCCTCCTGCCCCAGACAGCGTCGGGGAGAGGTCAACAACAAATAGAACATGTCCCTCCCTATTGCACATGGACCCTATATACAGGCCCACCCACCACCAGGCTGGTGGGATGCTTGGTACATTCTCAGATCCCTGCTCAGAGGTGGGAAGGGTGACCGGTGGCCGCACATGTGAAAAGGGACTTCTGGGTGGCCACTCTGGTCCAGGCTACTGGTCCAGGCACTTCCTATTCCTCAGTTCTTTCCTGGTCCTGCTTGGAGGTCCCGAGGGGAGGTTATGGCTTCTCAGAGACTCCCTGGCAGAGACTCGCGTTCATTCAGGGGAAGGGGTGTGTGTGGCAGAAGCAGCTGTATGAATACGGGTGAAGGGGCAAGTCCTCTGGGGTCACTTAGACAGGTTGCTGATGAGGCAGATCAGGGGCTCATTCTTGTACTTGAGGCGTGGATGTCATCCTGGAGGTTGAATAGGCCCTTCAGCTCCTCTTCCAGCTCAGCGGCCTTGTGATCCAGCGCCCTGCTCAAATCTCTCCAGCCCCAGGAGGATCGGCCTCTCTGCAAAGCACTCCTGCCTCTGTGTGCTCCATCTCCAGTTGTGCCAGTGGCAGTGTGGTCTCAGTCAGAGGCTCACAAAGTCTCTTGTTCTCAATGTGCAGCTCTGCTTAGAGCTTCCTGAAGCCTCCCTAGGGCTCTTCTGATTCAGGCTGGGGTTCTGGGGTTAGGTCTTGCTGCCTCTGGAGGGAAAGGGCTGGAATCTGGGCTGATGTCTGCTAGCTTCACCTCCTCTCCCTACGTAGGCCCTCTCCTCTCCTTGCCGACTCTTGGTTCCTGGAGGCCTGTGGTTCCTGTCCCTGCCCGTCAGGTACCTCTACTCTCTGGGCAGGGCCATCATAATTCCCAACCCATATAAATTGATTAAATGCTCCAATCAAAATAAATTGAGTGCCTGAATGAATAAGAAAACATGACCCATATATATGCTCTCTACAAGAGACACACTTCAAAACAAAGAACCCATACAGACTGATAATGAAGTCTTAGAAACAAATTTCAGGCAAATATAAATTAAAAACAAAAAAAAAAACTGGGATAGAAATACATATATCTCACAAATTAGACCTCAAATTGAAGGCCATAACAAGACATAAAGAAGATCACTTCATAATATTAAAAGGAGCAATTCAATAAGAGCATATATAACTCTGGTAAACATATATGCCCTCAATTCAGGAGCACCCAAATATATATATATATATTAAAAAAAAACAAACACAAACTTATGGAAGATATCAAGGGAGTGACAGGCAGCAATACAGTCATAGTAGGGGACTTTAACAACCCATTGACACCACTGGATACATCCTCTAAGTAAAAAATCAGCAAAGAAACATCAATCCTAAATGACTCACTAAGTCAGATTGACTAAATTGTCACCTTCAAAACATTTCACCCCAAAGAACATAATATACATTCTTCTCAAGTGCACATGGGACAGTTTCAAATATAGAATACATATTAGGACACAGGCAATGTCTCTTCAGACTCAAAAAGATAGAAATCATATCAAGCATCTTTTTAGATCACAATCACATAAAATTAGAAATCACTACAATAAAAGTAATAAAATTATCAAATACTTGGAGGCTAAATAGCATGCCATTAAATAACTATTGAGTTATCAAAGAGATCAAATAAGAAATAAAAGGCATCCTGCTAACAAGTGACAATGAAAACAAAATAATACAAAATCTATGGAACACAATGAAAGCAGACTTGAAAGGGAAGTTCATAGCTCTACAGGCCTAGGAAAAAAAATGGTAATAAATTATCTAACTCAACAACTCAAAGAATTATAAAGAGAGCAATAAGAAAAGTCCAGAGTAAGTAGAATGAAAGAAATAATAAAGATCAGAGCAAAAATAAATGACATAGTGACAAAAACACCCCCACAAAACTATAGAAATTCAATAAAACCTTATCTTTGAAAGCATAAACAAAATTAATGAACCTCTAGCCAGGATCACCAAGAAGCAAAGAAAGAGGACCCAAATAAACAAAATCAGAAATGAAAGAGCTGAAGTAACAACTGACCCCACAGAAATACAAAGGATTATGAAAAAATACTATGAACAACTCTATTCCAACAAACTGGACAACTTAGACAAAATGAACATATTATTAAAAAAATAAAAGCTTTTAACACTCAATCAGGAAGAATAAAAAAAAAAACCTGAATAAGCTGATAACTATCAAATAAATTGAAGCAGTAATAAAAAATCTTCCAGCAATCAAAAGCCCTGGTCTGGATGGCTTTATAGAGACGTTCTACCAAGCATTCAAAGAACTAAAATCTATCCTCCTCAGACTATTTAAAAATATTCAAGAGGAAGGCAGACTTCCTAGCTCTTTCTATGAAGCCAGCATCACTATAATTCCAAAACTAGATAAAGACACCACAAAGAAAGAGAACTACAGGGCAATAACCTTGATGAACACAGATGCTAAAATCCTCAACAAATTTGAGCAAATCGGGTCAGCATTACATTAGAAAGATCATACACCATGACCACGTGGGAATTATTCCAGTGATACAAGGATAGTGCAATATCTGCAAATAAATAAATAAATGTGATAACAACACATAAACAAATTGAGAGACAAAAATCACAAAATCATATCAATCGATGCAGTAAAAGCATTTGACAAAATCCAATACCCTTTCTTGATAAAAGCTCTCAGTAAAGTGGGGAATACATCATACCCCAACATAATAAAATGGACATATTCTTAGAAAAATAAAAATCTACAGTAAACATAATATTCAATGGGCAAAAACTAAATCTATTTCCCCTAAGAACAAAAACCAGATTGGTATGCTCACTCTCACCCCATAGTACTGTTCAACATGGTACTTGAATACTAGACATAGCTATGAGACAAGAAGAAGAAATAAAAGGCATCCAAATTGGAAAATAAGTAAAACTGTCCTTATTTACACATGACATGATACTGTAAATAGAAAACCTCAAACACTCCATCACAAAACTACTAGACTTAATAAATGAATTCAGCAATGTAGCAGGATACCAAATTAACACCCAGAAGTCTATGGCTTTTTTATAAACCAATAATGAACTCACAGAAAGAGAAACTAAAAAAAAAAAAAAAAAATCCCATTTACCATTGCATCACAAAAATTAAGATATCTAAGAATTAACTTAATTAAGGAGGTAAAAGGCCTATACTCAGAAACTACAGGAAGACATTGAAAAAAGAAATAGAGTAAGACATAAACATATCATGCACATGGATTGGTAGAATCAACATCATTAAAATATCCACACTATCCAAAATAATTTATAAACTCAAGTCAAACCCCATTAAAATACCAAGGGCATATTTCACAGACTTAGAACAAACTCTCCAAAAATTCATCTGGAAGAAAATAAGATCCCAAATAGCTGCAGCAATCCTGAGAAAGAAGAACAAAGTTGGCGGAATCACAATACCAGATATTAAACTATATTAAAAATTCACACTTCTCAAAACTGCCTTGTATTGGCACAAGAATAGAGAACTCTGAAAACACCTACGCCATGATAGTCAATTAATATTTGACAAAGGAGGCAAGAGCATACAATGACGTCAAGACAGTCTCTTTAATAACTTGTGCTGGGAAATTTGGCCGGATACATGCAAAAAAATGAAACAAAATAATCAACTTACAGCATACACAAAAACAAGCTCAAAATGGTTAAATGATGAAATGTAAGTCCTTTTTATAGGAAACCATAAAAATGTTAGAAGACTCCATAAGCAGCAAAATATCAGACATATGTCATAGCAGTACCTTTACCAATATAGCTCTTAGGTCAATGGAAACTAAGGAGAAAATAAACAAATGGGATTGCATCAAAATAAGAAGCTTCTGCACAGCAAAAGAAACCACCAACAAAACAACAAGAAAGTCCACTGCATGGGAGAATATATTTTTCAGTGCTATCTCAGATAAGGGTTTAATCTCCAAAATTTAGAGGTAACTCATATGACTTAACAAAAGGAAGATAAACAATCCAATCAAAAAATGGGCAAATGATCTAAATAGACACTTTTTGAAAGAGGACATACAGAAAGCCAAGAAACATATGAAAACATGCTCAAAGTCAGTAATCATCCATGAGATGCAAAGTAAAACAACAGTGTGGTACCATCCCCCACCTATTGGAATGGCTATCATCAATAAATCAACAAACAGGTGCTGGTGAGGACGTGCTGAAAAAGGAATCCTTGTGCACTCCTGCTGGGAATGCAGACTGGTGCAGCCACTGTGGAAAACAGTATAGAGTTGCCTCAAAAATTTAAAAATGGAACTGCCTTTTGACCCAGTAATCCTACTTCTAGGACTATATCCCAAGAAACCAGAAACACCAGTCAGAAAGGATATATACACCCCTATGTTCATAGCAGCTTAATTTAAAATAGCTAAGATTTGGAAAGAGCCTAAGTTCCCATCAGCAGATGAATGGAGTAAAAAACTGTGGTACATGTATATACAATGGAATACTATCTATAATAATAAAAGGGTAATATGCTAATTAGACTGGACATCATCTGGATGACATTCCATACGTCCTTCTTGATGAAACCAGGGCTGGAGGGAAGCAGCCGGGGCCTGGGTTCCTGCTGGTGGCCAGAGGAGTAAAGAAGCCCGGTTCCAGGTACCAGAGGGAAGCCAGTGCCAGTAGCCACGAAAAGGAAGGCTACTCTTGCACAAATTTTCCGGACTCTAGTGCTGCTCTAAAAAAGAAGGAACTTTGACCATTTGCAACAGCATGGATGGAACTGGAGAGCATTATGCTAAGGGAAATAAGCCAGTAAGAGAGAGATATCACATTATTTCACTCTTATGTGGGATATAATGATCAACATAAACTGATGAAAAAAATGGATCCAGAGACATGGTAGCACTGAACAGATAAGTTCAGTGAGAAGGCACGGGAGGGAGGGTGTGGTAAAGATCAACCAAAGGACTTGTATGCATGCACATTAGCATCATCAATGGACACAGACATTGGGGTGTTGGGGGCTTGTCCTTTCGGGTGGAAGTGGCTGGGTCAATTGGGAAAAAAGGAGATATATGTAATACTTTAAACAATAAAAATTTTATTAAATCAAGGCTATAAACAGTGCATTTGCTGTTTTCTAGGTATTCATCTTAAAAATTTTAAAGAAGTGAAGTGTAAGTGATAAAAAAAAATCACCATTGTTCCTCTGTTATTCAAGAGAATATGGACAGAAAGTATGTGATGTATGTAATATAGTTTTGGTACTCTATATCAGAGAAAATATATGTGGTTATTGTGACTAAGAAAGCAATAATAGTAAAATATATATATAAGAACATTTGAAAATTCCCTAGATGATGAATTATATTCCAAAAACACATCCTAGAAACTTATAGAAATTAAAAAAAAAAACAATAATAAATTGTTTTTCAATTTCATTGATTTGTTGCCATGGCGACTGTTTGAAATGAGGAGCCAGCACAATCAGTGATTTAAATCTGAGAGTCTGTCATCAAAATGAGTGATGTGTGTTCACTGTACAGAAATGAGGGACCTCATTTTAATTTTCTATACATGCTACTTATTATGGTTTGACATTTATTTTGGTAGCTAATTTTTTCTTCATACAAAGTTACAAGTGCATTATAAATCCAGCTTTTTGTAATATTTAAAAGGTAGTGTTCATCTAGCATAACTGGTAAGACAAGCAGACAATGTCAGCAATGCAGAATGGAGAATATTTGTCATAGGAATTGAATGAACTCTAGGAGTGACATCTCAGTGACATTTTCACTATTTCTGTAATTGCAACTTTTACATTGAGACCTTGCTCAATTGCTCAGTTATAGGAAGGGCCAGAGAGAGATCATGCCTATCTCTAACAGTAAAAGAAAAACAATGGGCCAACTATTTTGAAACATATCTCCCCAATTGTCCTAAAACAGCATTGCTGAATGTGACAGGCTCTAGGCTCTGTTTCATGGGACATGGTATAGAAGGGTAGAGAAATGAAACCCTTGTTTACATTTTTTTACTTTTAAAAAGTCTACATTGTGAAGCCTACATGTCATTAGAGATTGGAGACATTATATAGCTCATTACAGTTGGTACAGGGTACTGTCTAGGGACTCATTGCCCAGTGGGAACTCTTAGTACCAGAATACTTGTCAGAAATTTTTCTGTAGGTTAAGTATTTCTTAAAATACTTAAAATGCTCTGAATCATGCATACATGTTTAATGAGAACCCTCTTTTAGAGGTGTCATGAAGTGGATCACAGAAGAGCACTTGACTAAGAACCTGAAAAACACATGTGTGCTTATGCAAATGCCATTAAACCATTAATCTAATCTTAGGTTGGCCTCAATTTCCTCTTCTGCAAAATTAGGACTTTGGACTAAACTAACTTTAAAATATTGTCTTCTAAAATCAGATGATTCTTTTGACTAACTGGAAAAAGGAAGTTATTCATAAACCCCAAGTTAATTCCAACAGCAAAATAATTCCAAATGCCTTATTGATTTTACTCTCCTACTTTTTTTTTCAGTCTAATTTAACATAGACTGAAGTTTGTATCCCCTAAAAATTTATATGATAAAACCTAAAGCCTAACACAATGATATTGGAAGACGGGGATTTTGGAAAATGATTGGGTCGTGAGGTTGTAGCCCTTTGTGGATGGCATTTGTAGCTATTGTGAGTATCTTTGTCTTATTTTTAGTTTTATCGAGGAACACTTCAGATGTTTGCCAATTAATGTTTTCTGATGATTTCTAATGAAATCTCTTGATTATGTTAGAAATTCAGTACTAAAATATATGAACCACAGTTTAGGCATATTCACTTCAGAGAAAAAAAGGGGGAAAACACCCTAAAAGTTGTAAATTATGTTTCAGTACACAATTCTCAAACAGAAAGCCTCACATAAGTAGCAAACTATTTTAAATGATACAAAATATATTTAAACTCATGTCTTTTTTTTTTAAAAAAATATATATATATTATTGGTTTTTTACAGAGAGGAAGAGAGAGGGATAGAGAGTTAGAAACATCGATGAGAGAGAAACATCGACCAGCTGCCTCCTGCACATCCCCTACCATGGACGTGCCCATAACCAAGGTACATGCCCTTGACTGGAATCAAACCTGGGACTCTTCAGTCCGTAGGTTGACTCTATCCACTGAACCAAACCGGTTTCAGCTCATGTCTTTTCTTTTGAGTCTGAGGAACTGTGAAAAAATTCATGAAATGTATTTCTTATTTTATTGCATTTTCATTTAAAAAAGTATACTCTAGCACAGATGTTGGCAAACTCATTAGTCAACAGAGCCAAATATCAACAGTAGAATGATTGAAGTTTCTTTTGAGAGTCATTATTTTTTTTTTAACTTAAACTTCTTCTAAGGCCACTTCTTCAAAATAGACTTGCCCAGACTGCGATATTTTGTGGAAGAGTCACTCTCAAGGGGCCAAAGAGCCACATGTGGCTTGTGAGCTGCAATTTACCAATCACTGCTCTAGCAAATCTGTATTTTCAATACATTTTTAAATATATTCACTAATATATTCACTAATCATTATTATATCTCACACACAATATCCTTGTTTAATTTTTTACTTGAGGAGAACAGATCTTCAAGTAGTTGCCACAGAGAAGTCTCCTGAGTGATGTCCTTTGATTTCTTGAATGTCATGTTGTGCGGACTCATGGATCACAAACATAATTTTATAGTGTATTCTTGTCAAATGTCTGCAAATATTCGTTACTTTTTGTTAGATTTCAATATTTGTATGAGAATTCTATAGCAGATTCCCTTATCTCCCCAGAAGATATTGTGTATTTCAAGGCTAAGTTCTTAATGCTCTTAGAAATCTTTAAACAACACAATGTAATGTCTTTCCTAAACCCCAAAGTCACAAATGTGTTTTGATTCTTCTTCCAGGTCCAGGGGGACAAAAGAAGAAATAATTAGCATGTGCTTGGGCTGCCTTCCTAGATCCTTTCTAAATTACATTTTTCTGATTCCAGTAGCCACAAATTACTATTTAACTTACCAATGGAGAACAAAAATTTCTAGGAGAATAATTCAGTTTAGTTATTGCAATGACCTATCTAAAAAATTAAAAATGTATCCTCCCCCTTTTCTTTTTCCCTTAAAACATGACATAAAGTACCAAGCTCAACAAACAATAAAATATTTTTAAAAGATTATCATTCTTTTGTTTGTAAATAAGAACATTTTATTAGAAAAAGAAAGAAAATGTTGCTGTAGAGTTTTTAAAAAATATTAAGTCTGAAGAAAAGAACAAAAGCAATAGCTTTAAATAAAAGCTACTTCTAATGAATTGAGGCAGAAACACAAAACCTTGATGTATAATTGTTGGAATTTCTTAAAATGAATACAGTGATGGGCAGTTAACCATTTTCATCGACTGGTTCCAAATATTAACACTACTATGAGATTCCACAGGATATTTTGTTTTATATGAAGCATTAATGCACTTTGATATCACTAGCCAAATGCAAAAGAAAGCAGGGTATAAAATGGCTAATCAGGCAGGAGAAATTTAAGTGTAAATGACAGTATATAGAGCCTAGTAGACCTTGTCTTGAAATGGCTGAAAGTCTTAAGCAAATAATAAATACTAAACTCAGAGAAGTAAAGAGAGCTTGAAACTAATCGTTTAACAATTCCTCAGATTTTATGTGATTCCACTGTAAAGTAACAAATATAGAAATACAGAAAATAATTTCTTGACACAAAGGCATGTTTCTGTGTACCTCATAACCCGGTGGAGAGCCCGTGAAGTGTGTATTATCTTTTTGCTACCACAGAAGTCTCACAAAACCTGCAAATTCCTACCGCTGGCATTCACCAGACACACAAAGACATTACAAGAGGGAAGCTATCCTTCCCCTTATCTAATAACAGCACCCTAGAGAGAATCCCACAGTGGTGCTCACCAGCATCACAGGATAAACTAAATATTATCTTTTGTTTCCTTTTTAACTCCATTTTCTACAGCAAAAAATAACTATAGTTATTCTTGTTGCCCTACAAAAACACTTGACCATTTATCTCATCTGAGACATGATATGATGGGAAAACACAAATTAAAGGGGACCTTTGTGTGTTTTATTTTCATTGAAGATCATAATTCTCTCAAATAACTATGTGATCACCTCATGTTCACATAAAAAAATAAAAAATGATCATAGGCTACAAAAATGATTTAAAAATACCTTTTGATGTGCAAATATCATGCTACTGCACACTCCATTATCAACATCTAATAATACTCAAATAGCTTAGAAATAGAAGAGCTGAAAGATGAATGGACATAAGTTATCATTACCTTATTCTGTTATTATATTAAAACTGAGGCAGCTTGACTGGTATAACTCAGTGGTTGAGCTTTAACTTATGAACCAGGAAGTCACTGTTCTATTTGCAGTTAAGGCACATGAGGGCTCAATCCTCAGTAAGGATCATGCAGGAGGAAGCTGATCAATGATTCTCATCACTGATGTTTCTCTCTCTCTCTCTCTCTCTCTCTCTCTCTCTCTCTCTCTCTCTCTCTCTCTCTCTCTCTCTCCTTGCAATCAATACAAGTATATTTTAAAAAAAACCTAAGGCCCAGAGAGTTTATGTGATTTAAATTTATAAGACCACTGTCATAATTAGTGATAAAAATACTTAAAATATATATGTTATTAAAATTGGGGATTTGTATGTGTAGAATATGTGCAACCTAGAAAAAATATTAGCACTAATTCATATAGATTCAGTTTAAATAAGTTCTCAGTTAACTAAGTTTTTCATTTATTTTTGAATTCCTAGTGTACTTCCCTACTACCATTTTCTTCAAGTTTCTAGACCCATCTTCTCTTTACCATTATATTTAATTTAACTGAATCTTAAGTGCCTATAGTATATAGATATTAAAAAAAAACTGTATTAAAAATACCATCTAAGAACATATGATTGCTCCTTAACATATATACTATCCCCTCCTATCTCTCTCAACTCCATCACAATTTTGTGTCCATCTATGCTCTCATACTTATATTTAAAAACCCTTGGTCTGTCACATCTGTAACAACCAGAGACTGGACCATTTGTCCAGGCTGCAGCACAGCAGGCTCTGGTGGGTGGGGATTTATGGCAGCAGAAACAGGGATGGGGGAAAGTGGGGCTGGCACTCACATTTAAAATTGCACACATGCACAGACACACACAGCACCCACCAGCTCACAGCCCTTTCTCCTTTCTTTCCCTCCCTCCGAGCTCGCTCTCAGAGCCTCTGTCAGAATGAGGAAACAAAACAGACTGGGCCTGAAGAGGCCTGGATGGAAGGGTGAGCTGGCGGAGGGTAGAGCGGCCCCCATTGGCCCTGCCCCCTCCCAGCCTGGAAAGAGGAAGAGGGACACAGGGAGGCAGGAAGGCCTGGAGGACTGCTGAGAAAAACAGAAACAGAGACCTGGGGAGATCAGGCTGGCAGGGAAGGGCAGTTAGGGGTGATCAGGCAGGCAGGCAGAGAGGTTAGGGGTGGTCAGGCAGGGAAGCAGGTGAGTGGTTAGGAGCCAGCGGAACCAGATTGTGAGAGGGATGTCTAAATGTTGGTTTAGGCTCAGAGGGATGTCTGATTATCTGGGATTGGGAGATGGGGTCTAAACTGGCAGTCAGACATCCTCCAAGGGGTCCCCAATTGGAGAGGGTGCAGACTGGGCTGAGGGGAACCCCCTCCCCCCATGCACAAATTTCATGCACTGGGCCACTAGTCCTATATAATAAATCATAGTATCCAAATTGTCCTCTAAACCAGGAGTTGTCTGAGAGTTTACCCAGGGGGCAGGGCCAGCTGGGAGGAAGGGAGGGAGTACCTGGCTGGCAGCTGGTAGCCACTAGAGACCCTAAACTAGGGGTGTTGAACTCAATCAGAGAAGGGGCCAAAATCTAAAATCCAGCCTAAATCGCGGGCCGAATGGTTTACTGAACAGTCATAAACTGTCATTGTGATGGAAACGCAGCGGAGTGCAGTGATGACAGCGCGGTGCAGGCCATATTGCAAGGCCTGGCGGGACGGATTTGGCCCGCGGGCCTTGTGTTTGACACATGTGCCCTAAACAGTGGACTGGGCCTCTAGTGCACTATACTGTATAATGTCAGAAAAAAAAATAGACATCTTTCTTTGAAAGCTAACCCTAAGCATTCTTGGGCTTTCCTTCAAAACTTCACTTTTTCTACTAGTAAATGTCTTTAATTTCTTGTCAGTATGTCTCTTTATCCTTGCTCTTTACAGCATAGCATAACTACATTTCTCATGTTCATAAGTTTTCCTTTGACTTTTTTGAATCTTCATAAGTAGCACTTTCTCTCTTCACCCAGCACTCCATTTAATCCTTTGACAACATGTTGCCACCATCCTCTTTCCTCAGTGACTGGCTCCAGACTAAAAACAATGCTTTCTCAGTACCCATTCTTTGTATCTCTTTAATGCATTTGTTAGAGATGACTGCATAGAGAACACTAAGATCTATTTAAAATTCTCATTACTCATTCATTGTTTATTTAGAATTTATAAAATCGCTTTGCTATATACTTCGAATGATACACAACTTATAAAAGCAAGAGAATTACAGTCTGTGGGGAATATCCAAGAAGTGGCATTGTGCATATTGTAGTGTAAATGATTCTTGGTTTAAGGCACTTATTTTATTGAGCACACATTACTGGTAACATTGGATGAAACTGAGCACCTTTACTTCCTTAATTTATTTCTCTAAAAATTCAGAATGATACTCTTTTCTTGATACTCCAATATTATTACCCTATTCTAGTTGATTTCACTAGGTTCTCTCTATCCTCACCGCTTTACATTTTGGCGTGTGAAAGCTTCTAGAGCTTATTTTCTGATCTGCTTCTGCAGTGATACCATCTATATGCTGCATGAAATAGCAACTAAATATCAATGGTTTCTATATCACGATGTCCAGTATCCATATCTCTAGCATGATCTCACATAAGATTTTTGCAACTCTATTAAGATATCCTATAATACGTTATATCCCAAAGTGGACCTGATCCTGCATAAAAATCACAAATGTGACATGTTGTTCCAGGCTTATTACTATTAACTTCCCGTATTCAGGCTCCCATATTTATCACCTGAAAAAATGTGACATTTCTATTTAAAAAGAAAAAAAAAAAAAAAAAATATATATATATATATATATATATATATATATATATATATATATGCTGATAGGTTATCCATTCACATGATTCAAAATTCAAAAGGCATATTGGAAAAAAATTCCTTTCATTATTTTCTCCTAGCTACCCAATTTCTTTCTAAAATGCAAGCACTCTTATTTCTAAAATTGTTTTATACAATACTTATTATAGTAGCAAATAAGTACTCATTATTTTTTCTTAGCTTTTATTGTAAAAAATAAGTAGTATGCTATATACATTCTTATTCCATTTTTCTTTCACTAAGTGCATCCTGGAGTTTGTCTTATCAATCCACAAAGGAATTTCTTCATTTTTTTTAAATGCATATAATTTCAATAGAGGCCCTATGCACAAAATTTGTGCAAGGGGCTCAAAGGGCTCGGCCCTCACAGCTCCAGCTACCTCGGCCTTCACAGCCCTAGCTGCTTAGGCCCTTGCAGTCCTGGCTTTGTCCAAAAGCTCATAGAATGGTTGTCCGGAAGTTTGTCTAGATGGTCATTCAGCTGTTAGATCTAATTAACATATTAGCACTTTATAATATAGGGTTATATGAATGCACCACATTTTATTTAACTATTAAGCTGCTGATAAACCCTTAGGTGAGGTTTTATTATTATTATAATGTTGTGACAAATAATCTTACACATTAATTCTGTAAATATATTATCAGGTAAATTTTTTTTTTAATAAGTTTTTATTGTTCATATTATTACAAAAGTTCCTTCCCGCGCCCCCGCCCCCCCATTGCTCTCCTCCACCAGGTTCCCACCCCACCCTCTGCCCTTTCCCCACTCCCCATTGTCCTCATCCATAGGTGCACAGTTTATGTTTAGTCTCTTCCCACATCCCCCTCTCCCCTTTTCCCTAAGAATCGTCAGTTCACTCCCCTTCCATACCTCTGATTCTATTATATTCAACAGTTAATATTGTTCATCAGATTTTTTAAATTTCCTTGGTTTAGATTCTCTTGTTGATAGTTATGTATTTGTTGTTCATAATTTTTATCTTTATTTACTTTCTCTTCTGAAAGAACCCCCTTCAGCACTTCATATAATTCTGGTTTGGTGGTGATGAACTCCTTTAGCTTTTTTTTATTAGTGAAGCTCTTTATCTGACCTTCGATTCTGAGTGATAGCTTTGCTGGATAGATTATCTTTGGCTGTAGATTCTTGCTATTCATCACCTTGAATATTTCTTGCCATTCCCTTCTGGCCTGCATGGTTTCTGTTGAGAAGTCAGCTGACAATCATATAGGTGCTTCTTTATAGGTAACTACCTTCTTTGCTCTTGCTGCTTTTAATATTCTTTCTTTGTCTTTTGCTCTAGGAATTTTAATTATGATATGTCTTGGTGTGGTCCTCTTTGGATTCCTTTTGTTTGGAGTTCTGTGTGCTTCCTGGACTTGTATGTCTAATTCTTTCACCAGGTGGGGGAAGTTTTCTGTCACTATTTCTTTCAGTATGTTTTCGATATCTTGCTCTCTCTCATTTTCTGGGACCCCCATAATTCTGATGTTGGTTCGCTTGAAGTTGTCCCAGAGGTTTCTTACATTATCTTCAATTTTCTGGATTCTCTTGCCTTCTAGCTTCTGTGGAGGAGTGTCTTCTGGTTCTAAGATATTCCAAATCTTTGACTTGATTCTTGCGATCTTCCATTCTGTTTTTAGGACTCTGTATAATATTATTTATTTCAGACAATGTATTCTTTATTTCTTGTTG